TATTTTGTGGTTTTGGCCATGATTTTTATCCGTTTTGTGTGTTTGATAGTTTTTGCAACATATATGTTGAGATGTGTCAACATCCTCTGCAGTAACTGAAGTGTGTTTTCAGGAGATGATGAACAATGTAAAGCCTGTCACTGATTCTGTTCAAGACTGTCATGCACAGAATCTTAACGTGCAGCTGTAGAGGGGAAGTGTGCCATTAATGTGCTCGGTACAGCATTTCTGCTCACAGCATAAAAAACAACACCCACCCTACATCATAATTTACTTCATGTACTTGTCACACTTTGCTTCAGTTCATTATGTGGATGGAGAACATGCATTTTAGCTGTTAATGTAGTGACAGCAGAGCAACAACTGCGTTCCTTCCTGACAAGGAAAGTAACGCTGACGGTTTGTTTAAACCCTGTGTCGTGTAACATGTTGGTGGCTTTTCTGCTTCAGATGTAGATTTGTTTTGAAAAACTGTTTTATGTAAAAAGGCAGTTGAGGTGGTGCATAAACAGTACTGGATGGACTCTAAGGCCTTAATTTCACAGCCACAAATGTAGTTCTGTGTCCATCTGTTCATCCATTCATTTTCTTTGATGCTTATCTAAATGAAGGTTTCAGGGGCTGAAAGCCTTTCCCAGCTATCATAGGATGAGAGGCAGGGTACACCCTCGGAGGGAGGCCAATCTGTCGCGGGGCCACTCCTGCCCACAACCATACCTGCAGTCAGTTTAGCATAGTCAGTTAAGCTAATGCCATGCATGGAGGAAGTAAGAGTACCTAACTCCACACAGAAAGGCGTCAGAGTGGATTAAAACTTTGGACCTTACTGTGAAGTGCCAACCACTGCGCCACCATGCTGCCCTAATTCCAAATAATTAAAAAAAAATAGATTTGCAATAAGTTTGCAAGTCAAACACACAACATAAAGTATTTTGCTTTCTTACAGCTGGTGGGGTTTTATCGTCATCCTGCTGGGCAGGCGATGTTGACACCCAAGTTTGTGCATGCAATACCTCGAGAACAAAACAACATAGGAGTTTCAAATTGATACCATAGGTGTATGGTATCAAAAAATCTCTGACAAGTTCAAATCTTAGGCACCTCAACCTCAAGGTCAACGGTCAGGTTTTCTGAAAATCTTGTGAATGCAATAACTTGAGAATTAGGATTTTGAACGCAAAGCAGGATTTTGAAATTCATACCACTGGTGCATCCACTCAGAGGCTGAGGGGTGCCACTGGCCGCTGCCAGTATTTTCTTACAGTAGGTCCACTTTGGGTCTTAGTGGAATTAATTACACTCCAGTTATGCATTGGTCCCCAATACTCTGCTTTAAACGCATGTCTTGCAAAACAGTTTAGGAAAAAGTAGTTGTTTGATTAGTTTCCTAATGACAGTGAAAATTAATTTTCATCATAATTATGTTTGTTTAAATTCCAGCAGCTCTCAAACTAGCAGTTGAGCTATAACACATCGATGATTTGTAATGCAGAGTGCAGCCAGCCTGCACTGACTTTCCATCTATAAATTTCTTTTATGAGCATGCACTGTGCCAAGTAGAAAGGTTTGATGACAATGACTGTGCTGTGGTTGCTGGGCTCCAAGTGAAACAGTGATGCACAACTCTTAGCCCTCCCCTCATTTTCTCCACTCACGATCCTCTCACGTTCTAACCAGTTTTCACTGTGCGCTCTGCTTCAATCTGCATCTTTCATACAGGTTTACGAGACTCCATTTTTTGTGGCAGTGGATCACGAAAAAAAGAAAGTTGTCATCAGTATCAGAGGAACTCTTTCTCCAAAGGTGACTTTCTTTCTTAAATTTCTGTGATTATTTAAATCTTTCTCTAAGGCTCTCAAAATATTGTCCGACCCCATTCTCTTCAGTTCCTCACAACAACACCACCTCCAAAGCAGGTGAAGTTCTCATGGTTGAGTGTTCTCAAACTCCTACACCTTTTCACACATAGAGCAGAAACAGGACTGTCCACCTTCAGAGATAAATGTCTTATCCGCTTTTTTTACATAAGCATTTGTGAAAATTCCTGAGCAGTGTTAAAACTGAACTGAACCATCAGCTGAGAGATTAATCATGGTTTTATAATAAAAGCAAATTGGCTTTTAAGAGGCAGCTCACTACTCATCCCATTGAGCTTTGCTCCCAGCTAGCCAAAAACATCCAGTTTATCAGTGTAACAAACAAGGACGCATGCAGAGTGGAACATTTACAAGAACACCACAAAGATTAAAGAAGCATTTGCAGTGTTTATGAACATGCAGAATCCCGAATGATTACTGCAGCATTATTTTCATACACTGTTATAAAAGATGGATGTCGCTACTGTGATGCCACTCATTCATTTTTGAAGCCTGGAGATAAGGGTGCTCAATCCATCTTTATGTTTTGAAACCAGATGTAGTCAGAGAGAGGCAGGTCTGACTGTGAAACCACACCTGCACTTGCTAACAATGAGCTCATTGGCTAATGTACCGCGTACAGTCCTCCTGTCTGAAACATATTTTAAAAAGGACCAAAAAGGAGTGACAGAGTCCATAAAATAAGCAGACAGTTGTTTCCAGAGGTCAAGTTGGAAAGCTGGTTTCCTGTTGACTGAAAGAATTGCAAGTCTTTTTTTTTTTTCTTTTTTGCAACTGTAGGCGTTGCCCCCTGGTGGCTTCTAAATACAACGCAGGTTTAAGGCACTTAACCTTTGCTTTATTTTCATACCTGGTGTTTTTGCCGATCCTGTAGACTATCTATATACTGATTAGTTTGAGCTTGCACCTGATCATGCAGGTGTTTAGTGCAGTCTCTGCAGGAGAGGGTGTAATTCAAGAATGTACCTTGCATTCAGAAAAAATACAGTATTTGCATATTTTAAAATGGATAACTGACACTGAAACTTTTTTGTTAATAAATAGAGTAGTTGGGCTGCTTTTGCAACAGCAGAAGTGGCACATCAGGACTGTCTGCGTGTTTGAGAAATGGTTCTGTGGTTCAAATCATCATTTTTTTTGTTGTTAATGGAAGTGATGAAACGTTATCACAATCGTGACTTCTTAAATATAAAGTTGAAGTGAGTCAGACACTTTAATCATGTAATGATTAATTACATGATTGTGAGCTTACCGCTCTTGGTGTCTCCACGTACAGTTATATAACAAATAGTCACGTTTTCAGAGGGGACTATAATGACTTTTTTCATTCCTGTACATAGTTTAGCATCTTTTATTATTAAGGTGTTCTTTTTTTATGATCCCCGCCTCCACTTGTGGTATTCTGCTTTGTGCTGTTGTCACATTTGAATTTGCCTTTTGCGGATCAGGACGCCCTGACTGATCTGACGGGGGACTCTGAACGTTTGCCTGTTGAGGAACAGCAAGGCACCTGGCTTGGCCACAAGGTCAGAAATTAAACGACTCGCCTATGATACATCATCTCAGCGTTACAGTCTCATGAGATTTTCTCTTTTAACTTTCCTGTGTTCTCCGTGGTGCGCTTTCAACAAGCAAATTACATCCTATACTCCAAAGGTCATTTACGTTGTTAATAATAGAATAATTACTTTGGGTGTTTTAATGAGGGAGCGATGACACAGACTTCCTGTGCATATTTCTTTCTCGCTCATCATCTTCCATCCACTGAATCCCCCCCCCCTCTCTCTTTCCTCCCAGGGAATGGTTTACTCAGCAGAATACATTAAGAAGAAACTGGAGCAGGAAATGATCTTGTCTCAAGCTTTTGGACGAGACTTGGTACATGACTCAGTATACTGTGTAAAGTATGGCAGGCTGAATGATGATCCTTTTTATAAGAATTTGTACAGTGTATTTTTATTGGCGTCACTGTAGTACTTTAGTCAAGGCCACACTGGCTGCGTAACATTACCGTAATATTGGCTGTAGTGTATACAACAATTTATTTGGCAAGCAGCAACAGAGGCAATTTCTTTAAGTGATTGTCTTCGCTGTGGTAACAAGTGTGCTCTTGTGAATGTAACGACTCTCGCTGTCTCACACAGAACAAGGGCACCATGCATTATGGGCTGGTGATAGTCGGGCATTCTCTCGGTGCAGGCACTGCTGCTATTCTCTCCTTCCTGCTGAGACCTCAGTACCCAACACTTCACTGCTACTCTTACTCTCCACCCGGTGGCCTTCTTAGGTGAGTCAATCTGGATCCCAATCCCAGAGTATCAGTACTACGGTGTGAATGCATTACAAAGGAAGTTACTTAAAGCGTGTTTTTGTTTTGTTTTGTGTTTTTTTGTCACTGGTAATGTTCACAAGTCTGTCACATGTTTAGTTTCACTCCCGCTTGCTTGTTTACTTGGGGGCTCATTTATAAAAGTGATCTTGAGTATGGCAGAAAACCATGGATACATAATTTTCAGCCAGCTATATATACTCCATCCAAGAATACATGTCGGCTGGCATCAATCTCCTCTACCATTGCTGCGATTTCGTCTTCCAAGCAGTTTGCGTCTCTCATTCGGTCAGTTTCTGATTGAAAACTCATCTGTGCTGGCACTGTGCAGAGGAATGAAAAAACTTTTACTTAATACTTAATATGAAGTTTTTCCATCGCAGCAGGGTTTTTTTCCCCCTGTGCTTCCAGTGGCCATTGGGGTTGACTACTCGTGCAAATGCTACTGGCCTGCATACAGCAAAGCCAGTGACTCTTTTTTTCTTTCTTTTTTTACTGACAGAAATCCTTGTTTTTTTTCCAGTTGTTTCTGACATTTTGATACAAGTTGGTCAATTATTTTAATTATATAAAATAAGAAATTATTTTATTTCTGTGCTGTTTCCCTTTGGCTTTGGCTTAAATCTCTTTGCAGGGAGGGGTTTGTGTTTTGTTTAGTGTTTTTGTATTTGGGGTTTTTTCCCCTATCACATGTGAGTTAAAAAATCGGATGCTCATGATGTGTGACAGAAACACTTTCTCTTTAATGCTTACAATCTATTTTTATAAACCAATAACAAGCAGGTTATAAGGAATTACTTTAAATTCAGGCATAAATCCAAGAAGATTTTTATCAAGTAGGTCTTTTTCATGTTGTTCTGGGTCGTCTTTCGCAATACATACCAATGCTATTACTCACTTTATTTCTCAACAGAGCTGAGAAATTTCTTGTGATTTTAACAATATCAGTATGAGCAAAGTGGTCCAGTTTGTTTTTTGTCAGTTTTTCCCGGTTTCCTTTTTTTTTTTTTTTTTTTTTAAAACCCTTATTTAATTGTAGAGGCAAACAAACAGTGAAGAGAGAGGAGGTGAATTGGAAGTAGAAGCCCAAACTCTTTCACTCTCAAACTAGTTCAGGGGAGAGCTAGATGAAAGAGGAAATATAAACCAATATTTTGAGGCTAAACCAAGAGACATTTATTTTGGGGGGATTGCTTTTTAGGACAGGAAAGCAGTGAGAAATTACTGGGGAAATATGTGCAGTAAATGGCCTTCAGGCAGGTTTGAGGATTTGCTTTCTGGGCTTGAGGAATTGTGGTTTTAAATCCTACTTTAGTTGCCACTGATTGGTCAGAGTATCTTCCTGAAACAGATCAGAGGAAGCAGGTATCCTGATTGACATTCTGGTAGATGAAACGCAGCTTTGATGGATGCAGCTACAGATTTCTACTAAATTTTGTGTAATCCTGTCACAGTTTTCACAGTTACTGAATTATTTGAAAATGATGATAGACGCGGCGTATGTAGCAGATCTGCAGAGATGGACATTGCTATAAACATTTTCTTTCTTTTACCCATCCCCTCAGGAAGTCTCGTTCCTCAGTCTGAGAAGAATTATATTCTCCTTTAACTGTAGGTGCAAGGTGGTGCATTTTACTGTGGACAAGTACCCCAAAGCTGTGGTTTGTACTTTCATATCATCTTTTTTTGTAATGATGTAGCCTATTTTTGGTCCAGTGGTTCAGAGTTGACTTTTATTTTGACTGTGCACAGTTAACACTGCATACCACCATGCAGCTCTGGATAACTGTTTGCTATGCAAATTGTACTGGAAGGAAGTTTGTACCAAGAGGAAATTAAATGCTGCAGTGCACCTTTTAGTATTCTGTTAAAATCGTCGCAACACATGGCAGTTCTTAAACGGCTGTCACAAGATTTCACAGAAGAGGGGTGGCTAAAGAAAAGCATGAGTAGAAGTAGTATAAGCCCCACTAAAGCACTGTTTGTTGCCCACACGTATGCAGATGAGGAAAAAAAAGATTAAGCCCCTTTTAAAGTTATAGTTTGTGTCCAAATTTTCCCAAGGGCTTTTTGCCCCTCATGGGATATTGTCGTCACCCCACTCGGTGGGCGGGGGGTTTGGCAGCTCACGGTATCACAGTGTTTCTAAGTATCAAGAACCAGAATGAGAAGTTTCATCAAGAAATTCACTGAGAATCACACAGTTTAGAGAAAGAAGCAAGATCCGTGCAACCCAAACACCACTGTTTCCACCGTGAAACATGGTGGTGAGAGTGTTATGCTGTGGGGAGGTTTCAGTGCCTCTGAAACTGGGAATCTCGTTGAGGTGGAAGAAATCACAATGAAAGAAGGATATGTGAAGATTTTAAAGGAGACCTGAAGCAGGCAGAAGCAAAACTGGGTCTGGGTCATCGCTTCATCTTCCAACACCACGACGACCCAAAACATACGCCGCTCCTGGTGAAAAAAATACCTCCTGAAAATTAGGGTTCGCGTCAGAAGACAATCAAAGGAGCTTTAGAGATTCGCCAAAGAAGAATAGGCTGGGAATGTGAGACTTGTTGAAAACTACAATAAACAACTGCAGTAATTTTGACCATTGTAATGTTTGTTTTTTGTGAAATAATTTTGTTTCCATGTGCAAAATACAGTAATGTGAGCATCCATATGAAAACAAGGATGGTTGGAAAAGCTGTGTTTAAAAAAGCTCCTGGGAAATGCTCAGGATATACTTGGGTACCTGAGGGGGGGGAAAGAAAAACCTTTTTTTTCCCCCTCATCTATAGAAGTTAATAATATGATAAACGTGTATTGTTTATACAAATAATACAGTAAACTTTATCTGGATGGTATCTCTAGCTGATCTTGCAGGATTTATATTAACAGAGAACATCATTTTTAGCTGAATGATCTGATTATTCTTGCAATGATATACTCTTGCATCAAAACTTAATTTTCTTAGTGTTAATTACATCACTGAATGCTAAATGAATGCCTCTAATTAGCTATTGCATTCCCCCAATGTGGCATAAACATAGGCTTTCCAGCACATATGGTGTATGCCACATAATGAGCGCACACTCCACAGTGGCACAGCTGCACTTTCAATTCATCAGACTTGCAACCATTTTCCAGTCATTAAACCTTAAACTCAAAAGGGGTTTTGTATTAAAACTTTACATTGTGCTGTTTAGTCACATGCTATAGGCTATCACATCACTATTTAAGAGTAACTGCCCACATAGTCAAAGCTTTGAGTTGCTGTTTTTGTGTTTTCATGGATTCAGCTCATTCATAGTAAACCCATTGTGCATTTCCAAAAGCAGGCCTCCTTCATCATCTTCTTTTTGGTAGCCTGTTCACATGAAAATCAATTGTAGAAGTGCAGTTCATGTTAAATCCACGGGTTTACATATTAAGGGAGAGATGGGCAAACAGGAAGGGCGCTTCTTCTGAAGACGTGTAGTTCGTGTTTACCAGCTGCATCACCAGTAGACTTTTTAACCTCCAGAGTGTTCCTGTTTTTCTCTCCGTCTTCATGACGTCATGTGCTCCTGGGGACATGAACTGCAGTGTAAGCACCACAAAGGTGGCTTTGAGGACTTTGGCAGGTGACATCACTCTCAAGGGAGTGTGTGTATCGTCAGAATTCTGTAAAGGCAGAATTGAAAGACGACGCACGTCTGAGAACACACTGGTGTTGCAGCTGGTGTGAACCCATCACGAGATGGTCTCTAATTTTCTTAAAATCTTCTCCCCATGATTTGCAGTGTTCTATCAACCAGGGCATTTTATTATGGTCAAACAGAGTGCATCCTGTAAATATGTAGTGTGCAGACTATGTGCCATTATTTTCCCTCTGTGTCTCCAGTACTCCGTAATTTAACTTCTTCTTTTTTTGTCCTTTTATGCACCCAGTGAGGATGCCATGGAGTACTCCAAAGAGTTTGTGTCATCCGTAGTTTTGGGAAAAGACCTGGTGCCAAGGTATCCTCTTTTACTACATCAGTATACTCATGTTACCTTCACCCTTCTGCAGTATTACCCACAGTAGCCTTCTGCTCTGTCATAGGCTTGGCCTGTCACAACTAGAGGGTTTCCGGCGCCACCTTCTGGAAGTTTTACAAAAGAGTAACAAGCCAAAGGTGACTTAACTTCTTGATGTTATAGAAGATTACAGACTTGTAGAGCATTTGCTGTATGAAATCATCTGGAACATAAAACAAATGAGATTGTTTCACAAAAAGCATGCAGTAATGAGAGAAGGCTGATAGTTGCTGTTTTTTAATCTATTAAATTCAGCATTATAAAACCTGTAGAATTTCTCATTTTTATTCCTGAAAGTTTTGTTATGAAGGAATGCATACAAATATAGAAATGCATACTTAAAAAAAAAATTTCTTACAGTGGAGGATCATTGCGGGAGGCACTAAATGCATCCCAAAATCAGAGCTTCCACTAGAGGATGATGATCCTCAGTCTCAGCCTGCAGCACCTCCAAGCAGTCGCTTGTGGCTACACCCCAGTGACCTCAGCATTGCCTTGTCAGCCTCCACACCCCTTTACCCACCTGGCAGGATCATCCACGTGGTACACAACCATCCTCGAGAGACATGGTAAGAAAACTGATTTGAAAGCTGCTGCAGTTAAATGCAAACATGCGCATGTTGATATGTATTTTTTGTCTGTTTGTTTTGTTGGTTTTTGTTTTTTGTCCTTTATCGCCGTTCCTCTTCCCCGCTGTTTTTCTTTCCCTACCTCTCTTTCTTTCTCCCAATCATGTCTGTCCCGTGTGTAGCAAGTGAAGATAAAATAAAATAAACAATAAAAGCAAAGGTGAATCAAATAGACTAATACAGCAAGGCTGGGACGGTCCATTTGGTAAAATAAATCCATTGGGCGTCTTTCTTTGCCTTTAGACAATAACTCTGATGGCAAAAGAACCAAACGGGACAGGCGGGAAAAAAATGCAAACATGTGTTTTCTTTTCGTGTTTTACCGTGTCTAAAGGTAAAACAGAAAGTTCATCCTTGTATATTTTTCTTCATACTGCAGTACTTTTTAAAGCACTTGGTGTTTAAAGGTGCTATGACAATAAACTGACTTTGCCTTGTTCGTCTTGGAGTCCTTTTGCTTTTTGCTTTTTAATCTTTTACCCCAACGTACGAGTTTTTTGACTTGATACGAAACTATTCCAATTAGTGGTGTTATACAGTGCCCCCCATGTTCTGTATTGTGAGGAAAATATATTAAGTCAAACTGTGTGTTTACTATTTCTCATTATGACTGATAGATTCTCTCTCTTTCTCCCTCTCCCTTTTAGCTGTGGTCAGGAAGAGCCAACCTATTCAGCATTGTGGGGGGACAACAAGGCTTTCAATGAGGTCATCATATCACCTGCCATGCTTAATGAGCACATGCCCCACATGGTGATGGAGGGTCTCAATAAGGTCTGTTTTTTAAATCTGCGTGCATGCATTATTTTGAGGGGGGGTGTATTTGAAATTGTGCAAAAACGGCTTTTTAATTTTGTTCTTGATTTCCAACACTGAGTAACGGATTACACGGGTGATGCTTACATGGGGATTGGCTCTAACAATGAAAGAAAATAAACAAGAGATGTGGGTCTTAATAAAGGGTGGAATACTTATTACAGGTTGTTTTATTGAAAATAGAGGCCAGTAACAATTTTATGTTTTACTTTTAGTTTATCATTTTATTCTGGAGACAAGGGCAATCTTAATTAAAAATTCACTAAAAGCATTTTAGTAAATTGAGAGCTTAACTGTATGAAATTTATCTGGAAACACAAGTTTTTCTACAGACATTTGCAGGTATTGTTACTAATAAACCCTGCGAAGAGTGATGACATCTAGAGAGAACTTAATTGAAAATTGACGATTTCCTTATCCTTTAAATCTACCCATCTTGCGGCTTTTAATAACATTGGGGACTTGAAATTATCATATGTTGGTTATTGTCATTTAGTTCCTGTAGTTGCACCATGCAAAAAAAATGTGCAATTTCAAAGGTAAAGGTCTTAGGATCATCAAGTTTTAATTTAAATGGAGTTAAGAATTAGTTTTGAGGCATTTCAAAAATTTTAATGCGACTCCGTTGTTACTTTATGCATGTCATTAACCTACAACTCACCACACCTTTTTGTTTTTCTCCACATTGCTCCTGTCTCAAAGCATGGGAATTGTTCACTCGTGGCTGGTTTCACGGTCTTTCTTTGGTCTTTTTGAGCCTGTTCGTCATGGACGTTGAACATCTGTTTTGATAACAGGGTATTAATGTGAATGTTTGCATGTGATGGACTGATTTTGGGGGATTGCACTTGTTGTGGCTGAGGACTTCATGTTGTGTGGTGTTTTTCCCGTCTGTATATGGTGTTTTTCAGCTTGGTTTTGCCTTTGTGTTTGTCTCTCTAGATGAATGTTTAAAGTTAAGTATGTGTGTATTTGTGAAGTGTGTGCGTGTAGAGGATATAGTGGTGTGATATATTTGGTGTTTCTGCAGGTACTGGAACCATTTTGTCCCCAGTCTGAGCAGGAAAACTTGGAAGCAGAGGAACTGGGAATCAGTCAACCTACATCCAGTACCACTAATTTAATAGTCTCCCAAACAAAACTAAACGCTAGTCCTCCTCCCTCCAACTCTTCATCTGCCAACCACAAAGACCTGTCTTGCACTGGCTCCCTTGCAGAGACTGAAACTGTCTCTACACCACTCGCTGTCACTTCTTCTTCTTCAGTTCCAGATGCTGAGTCTGTTCTTCCACCTCCTCTGTCAGACTTTAACTCTGTGTCTCAGCCATGCATTGTGTCTGTCCCTTCCAACACCCAGTCAGGAGTTCTTCCAGCTGAAGATGATTCATGCGTTTTACCACAACCTCAGTCAGAACCACGCATCTCTCACCACCGTCAAGAGGAAATCCGATCTAACGAGTCTAACAGTCCTCAGATAGTGTCAAACAATCTTTTTGAATCTGTTGTCTAAACTTGATCACATTTAGACGCTGACAAATTCTATTACTATGTACATTACTAGTCTACATATTCTAAGGAGATGCTAATCGTAAGACTGAATTCAACTTTTGCTTGTTGCATTCAGTATTGGAAACATTTCTGCATTATGTGCAAAACTCAGATGTTGGCCAGTCTTAGGACAAAGGCTAGAGCCAAAAGTCAAAGTAAAGCTGCTATTTTTTTTTTTTTTTTTACTGATTTTAGAGCAACCATAATGACCAGTATGTAAAGAATCCTTTTTAACCACCAACTGGCATTTTTATTCTATCATCTTGCTGGATCCAACAAGTCCAAGCAATTTACTGGTTGCCTTTAAAAGGTGTTTCTCCAAAAGTATTAAGTGTGACATTGAAACTCAGCTGAATAGCTGGCACATCAAGTTTTAGAGGGTAAAGAAATACGCATCCACAAGGCGATGTGGTTAAAATTTTATCAATAACCATTTCCATTAATACATCACTGGTTAATGATGTATACAATGGTACAAGAGCATGCGATGGCTTTAAAGCATGGAGTCAGAAACGATGAGTCCAAACTCACCTGGACTCCTTTTCTTGTTAATCATCATCCAGCTTTCCACAAACCAACCCTTCATTTTTTTTTCCGTTCCTCTCTCAGCTGCAGTGCCTGTGGTCAAGTGCTTTGGCACAAACTTTCTAATCCTGGTCCTCAACGTAACAAGTTTTCTTTGTATTCACAAAGTTTCTATGGTAACCTAATTTCTTCCACATTAACTGCTCTTTCTTCCTTCCTGCCTGGGTTTTTCAGTAGCTGCAGCTCTTCTCTGTGGATGTGTTTCCCTTTTTATTTTTGCTCTTTGAAAGCACGCATTCAGAACATAATCCCCTAGAAAAAGATTTTGGTTTTCTTATTACTGGCATGTAGGAGAGTGAGTTTACTATTCAAAATAAATTTGTAGTTTACACAATTTTATATCCTTCACTGTACACTTCATATGTCAGTGTGCTTTTATTAATTCTATACACTAATACTGTCGGGATAGGCAATGCAAAAAAAAAAAAAAGGCCAAGTATAAATTTGATGTATTTTGTCATCATTTGTAGTTGTTGTGTCTACAGTCATAGATATGTTTGCTGTTGTTTGTGCCAGTTATTTAATGTGGTTTATTACTTGCGGAAGCATGTTCTCATGTGTCTTTAAACTCAACCATGTAACACATTGTTTACATTTGTCATCCATAACATGCACAATATAACCATAATAAATATATTAGCTTTTGTCTTTTTGTGTCATTTTCTCTTTTAATCACCTCATTCCATTGTCACATGTATTTTTTGTGTGTGTTCATGTCCTCTCATATTTCCACCTGTTTTTATACCACAATATGTTGTCTTTTGAGTCATTAAAGTTAACCAAACAATTGCGTGCTGATGTGTGGCTTGCCGTTAATGTTTTGGGGTTTGTTTGTTGTTTTTTTGTTCTGTTATAATTTACATCAGCAAACATAACACAGTTTGTATTTTGTTGGACAAACCTTGTGTTGAATGTGTTTCCAAGATGGATAAAACACTCATATGGTTTGTTATTCCCTATAGTGGTAATGCAGGTCTTGCATAGTTCTTACTCAGGCATCATGACTCTGTTGTGGGTGTTTAATGTCAGCTGGAGTAGGTGTCAGCTCACCTTTAGATTGCACTTATATGTAACTGAACTACGCTGCTTTTTAACACTATATTACAAGCACTTGTGCGCTTATAAATATAGTTGTAGTGGTGACCCACATAATATTTTTGAAACCATTATAATCTTACTGAAGTTGATCCAAGTGCATAACTGGCATTTGATATTTGTATCTTTTGGTTCTTCTGGATTTTTTTTTTTCTCATGTTTTGCTGACTAAGAGGAAGAAAACACCTCAGCATCTCTCTGTTTGAATCTAGAAAATGAATAAAGGAAAAACAGTAGAAATGGTTTTAAAAACTACAAAATCATTGGATTTCTGCTAGCATAGGCCAGTTTGGAAACATTGAGACAAACATCACATATAAAACATGATTAGTCAGATTAACTTTTTCCAGTTACATATTTTTATGAAGTTGTCCTGTTTATTTTGAAACGGATCCTCCCTGGTCGTCCCTCTATCAGTCAAGTCATGTATCTGTTTATACTCCTGTGCTTGTGACAGGTGCTGGAGAACTACAACAAAGGGAAAACTGCTTTGCTGTCAGCAGCCAAGATCATGGTGAGCCCCACAGAAGTGGACTTGAACCCAGAGACCTTGTTCGTCGATACATCAACAACCTCTCAGCAGCCAACGCCTACAACCCACCACCGCAGGAACAGCAGTGTTCGGTTAGTACATCAGGCACCACTGTGGGCATGTTTAAGCCTGGAAGGATATATAAAATAGTTTGATCTTTATATTCAGCTTTCACTCTTGCCTAATATGTAATAGTAGCAAATCTCTTTCTAAGTATAGGAGAAATCACTGGGAAATGATGCCTTGTAATGTAGCTATATAACCAGTACTAAAAAAAATACAACTGCTACTAACTACTACTTTATTTTCTCAAAATTATTTTTGTTTGTTCTGTATGTTTTAAAAAAAAAAAAAGACAAAAAACATTGTTACGGTAAGCAAAGCATGCCAATACTAATTTTGCATAATGTCCTCCCTTCTCTCATGCACGCATGCACGCTGTCTGAACACAGAGCCGTTACAACATATGGTAGTATTCAGTTCCCACCTCGCCCTCTCTGGTTTAGCCCCTGTCCAAAGTCAGTGTGAACTCCTGGTACAAATGGTTAAATTACGAAGGTACTATCACAAAGTTTTATGACTCTGTCCACAGAAATGAAAAACTGTACCAGAATTAAATTAGACCAATTTCCTTTTTAAGGCGGTCTCCATGTGGACCTTTGGACACTATTCTGACCATTGGTACATGCCTGTTTTCTCGTGGTGTCCCTCTGCTGTGCCATGAAAGAGGACGCCTAGTTAAAGTTAAATGCACTAAATCTCTCCCTCTGGTACCTCGGGACATTATAGTAGAACTTTGACAGTCTGTTAGTAGCAGGTGCATTCACTGTGAATGACCCCATGAAGGGATGCTTGGCTACTGGCTGGAATCGTCCACTGAAGAGTGCTGCTTGAGCTTTACCCTGAGAACCAGCTCTTAACAGCAGTAAACATGTAATATGAAGGCTGGATGATGTTTTCTACCATTTGCACAAGTGTACACCAAGCAGTCACGATGGGACTTTAAAAGAGTGAGCAGCAGTCCAAAGGTACACAGGAAGTTGATCTTGAAGGTTTATTAAACGATTCTTAAGTGAAAGGTTGGGGTTCTTTTTTTCTTTTTGTGGACAGACTCACAGAACCTTTTGATCCCACCTTGTACTTTACCTCTCCTGTATTATAAGCCAATACAAGAGCACATGCACTTGGATACACTCTTGCCCTTCCAGTCTCTTTCCTCTTGTTTTTTTTTTTTAATCTTTCCTCCATCTATGTAGTATTTTGCAATGTTCACCTGCTCTGTAGACTCTAGATATCTGTAGTTTCAGTACTAACACTTTTCATTTCTATCCTTTTTCTTTAACCTTCCGTGAGTTATTTTGACTCGTTTTCATGTCTGTCTTGTGTTTTGAATCCCCTCACCTCTCTTTTCCCTTTCATTATGTTCCAACCCACTCTTCTCCTCTCCTCTAGCTCGTGTGCCCAGTCTGAAATATCTCTGGATGGTTTCTCTGAGTGCCCCCCTCCTCCAGTGCCTGTAGTACTGCGTGGAGCACGAGAACGTTTGGCAGTGGAGCTGAGGGACCGCAAAGCACCCTTAGCTGTCATGGAGAGTCTCTCAGATGCAGAGTCCCTGTATAGTCTGGATTCCCGACGGTCCTCTGCTGCATTAAGGGGTTCACCAATGCTGGGTAGCCTCCCGTTCCCTTTGGATGCCCCAATCCCAGAGGAGAACCCATCTCTGAGCTCTCGCACTGAGCTACTATCTGCAGATGTCCTCTGCCAAGCAACAACAGAGCATCTGGGTGAGGTTGGGCCCTTCTTTACCCCACTGGAATCCAGATCAACCCCAGATTATCCTATGAGGCTGTCCCCTGCCACACCTCGCTACAGTGGACTCCATTCCCCAGCTCTTCTAAACCAGAGTGTCTTGGCTAAGTCTTACAAAAGTGAGACTAATGCCAACTTGAAAATGCTTCCTGATGAGGATCACCAACAAATGCCTGGTGTCTACAGCCCAGGGAGCACACCTGTTGCTCCCCTAAGTCCACATATTGGTACTAGACCAATGGATGGAGAAAAGGAAGACTGGGAGCTGGAAACGGCAGAGAAACAGTTAAGTGCAGAGACTAGACCAGCGGTTTCTACACCTCCACCCCATCTATCCAATGGAAACCCCAGCCAGGCAGTGCTGGAGTTTGCCCAATACTTAGACTCTCTTTTCAGACTGGATGGCAGCAGCTCACCAACTCTGGACCTTTCTGATGGAGAGTCAGAATCAGGCCGGGGCTCCTTTGGGCAGGGTGAGTGTCTTGGAGATGAGCAGCGGTTGGATGACAAACAACTTCTGGCCAGGGCAACAGTGGAGCCTAATCTAGTTCCTAAGCCCCCGCGCACTTTTGCTGGATCGGCTGACCCCTCTTCAGGCATATCTTTGTCACCCTCCTTCCCTCTCTCTTCATCTGAGGAACTCAACGACCTTTCTCCTAGCGAGGGTGCCCCGTCAGCCATACACTCCCTACGAACATCACCCCCTTGCCACTGCCCTGAAGAGAACACATTATCGTCTATGGTGTAGAGTGCGCTCTGAAGACTCCAATGCCCTTTGCTCTGATTGAGAGGTGCAGTCAATTTCAGATTTTAAAACATATCACAGTACATGCATGCGATGGAATGCAGTTACTCATCTGAGATCCAGTGACAGAATTTGACTGACCAACTCACACAATATTCCCATTCTTCAGGTGTACCCCTTTGAACTCTGTTTATAGCATTTTCACACTATTGCAATGACTAAGAAAAAAAGGATACCTCTCTCTGCATGCCAGGGGGCTGTGCTGCTTTTGGGTGAATATATAAATAACTGTAGCTTCACAATGCCATTTGAAAATGTTGTCTCACCCACATGGGAATGCGTCCACATTACATCGATTCCCTGAAGTAACCAAATCAAAGGGAGAATATTTAACTGAGCAGGGATTCAAAAATTAACACTGTAGAAGAGGTTAGCATAGGCACATCATCTGGGTTGATGTACTGGACGACTTCCTGCACACTCAGCAGCTCCGGAAATTTGTCCAGCTTTTATTTTTGTTTGATTTCTTTAAATCAGAAATGTGAAGATGGACATTTTGTTAATAAATAGAAGTGATAAGATTTCAAGAAATGTTCCTCAGGTCTACAAAGAATTGACTTTGAGAAAGAGAGTAAGTGTGTTACATTGGTGAGAATCCATGTGTCTTAAACATTTAGTGATTGTGACAAAGTTATTTCAGATGCCTATGGATGTTTTTGAGTCTTTTGGTTACTCTTTATAATGCATGATGATAATTTTTTTTTGTAATTTATTTATTCTTCGAGAGAAATCATCATTAAAACCACCTTAGACTGACATTTGATTACTTGCGCACATCATTGCTCAATTTACCCCTCTTGCCAAAAAAAAAACATTTAATACATCGTCTTGCCAAATGTATTTATGGGATGTAATTTTGTATATGTATATGGATATTGCTTTATTTAAAAACAAGCTAAGTTCACTATCTCCTTCCATAGCCATCCTGTTGATTACCCACAAAGACTGTTACACAGCAACTCCAGAAAAGATGTCATCCTGACCTTAAAACACTGCCATGGCTTTCATTTCCAAAACACAGCCTCTGTACACCGGAGTTTATAGGAATATCAAACTTGCTAATAGTTGTCCTAGTTTCATAATAATTACTGTACAGTTCTTCTTGGAGAGCTCTTAGAAACAGGTCAGTCTGCATGCATTCCAGAGTAGCATGGCTGGTATAGAACGTGTCTTGTCCTTAAGCCACAGTAAAGAAGCTCTAAACGTGTCCAGAAATTACCATCGTATGTAAACTCAAACTTTTGAGAGGCTCAAAGGTCGCCGAGGTCATCAGACAGGACCAAATTATATATCCTACAGCTCTCTCGGGATAGATTTCTCTTGTTCTGAAGGTGCTCTGTCATTTTGGACGTCAAGGCGTTTGCTTCCCTTTAATACGGTTCATCTCAAACATGCTTGAGGTTGGACTGAATGAATAAGTGTACTCGAACATTGCATTTGCCGACTCTAAATGCTGTGTGCAGCACAGTATCTTCCATATCACTCTGGGTGTAATCGATGGGTCACGATTTGAATTATTACACTTAATGTTGTTATCACTTTTATTGCTATATTTGCTGGTATTATTATCCTTATTGCTCTTGCAACAGATTGGTTTGACGTCAGTGGTTTTTATCTCAGTTTTTAAGGAAAGTATGGAGAACTTTTTCAACTTTCCCAGATGTAAGGAGTTAAATATTTCAGGGTTTCCCCCCACCCCCACCCCCCACCCCCACCCCCTGTCTTGAGTGGAAAAAAAAATTGACATTCTGCCATGCCACTGGTAACAATATGCTTTTTGTTTTTGCAAATGTGTCATGGTGGTGAGACATGCTGCAGAGTGACAGCTTTCTCACAGTGAGTGACCTTTGGTGGAGCGCCACCATCAAGCCTGGAGTCACCATAGTGATCTGCACAGTCTCTCCAATTGGAATAAGATTTGCTGTGGTTACTCACAGCAGACCAGCCAGCCAGTTTACAGTCTGACACTACTGAAATCATGCTGCCAGTCCCAGTAGACACACTAAGGTTGGGCCAACAATTTCCTACATTCAGTAGCTTTGCTTGCAGCTGGTCATGCACTAAACACTGCTGAAAGAAAGCACCAATATTTTCCACCATGATGTGTATAGCACCATCTTCTATGTGTAATTATTTATACAGATGTCTAAAAAAAGATGAATTCCAATAGTCATGTAGAAAACAACTATATAACAATAAGGAGATAATTACTATATTAAAAAGATATCAGTATTGACATATATATATATATATATATAAAAAAGATTTCATCTGACAGTTATTTATTAAAACTATTGGCAGATTTAAGAATTGGACTTTATTTAAAGGAATAATTCAAGTATGTCTTGTCCATGTTTACCTGGTTTGCTTCCCGTCCTTTCCTGCCCCACAATGAGAATGTATTTAATCCCTCTCCCTCACTACCCCGCCTGTAATGAAATAAACTACAAACTGAAAAATATCCATTTGTGTCTTAACCTTTTTTTCCCCAACATGTGCTGCTGATATGTCTGTTTAAATGAGCCATAAATGTATATATTAAATTTGCTTGTCTTTATTTTTTAAAAATAAAGTTTTCGATTGTGTTTGTTTGCTCACGCATGAATTTTGGATTTGGGTCCTTTAGATTTGACGTAAAGGATGCATCAGTGGTTTTAGAAGTGCTGAGAGGCCAGATATATTTTGTGTAAAGATGAGCTGTTTGAGCTATTATAAGCCCAGGTGTAGGTGCATTGTATTATGAGTGTACAGTAGGTCAGATTAGAGTCTACTGCTGAGCCTTTAAAGAGGCGTCATGGGTCAAATGATGTGAAGTGGATGTGAGGTGTTGATAAGACCAAGGATATATACATCCACTCCCACTAATATTTGGTTGAATGTCCTTCAGCAAACTGCACCTCAACCAGATGCTTTTAAAATAGCCATCAGCAAGCTTGTGGTATAATTCTGGTTGGATCTTTGAACACTTTTTATGGCAGAATTTGTGGATTTAATGTTAGATTTTTAAATGTAATCCACACATTTTCAAAAGGGTTGAGGTCGGAGCTTTGGGAAGGTAATTCCGGAAGGTTAATGTTAGTCTGCTTTATCTATTCCAAAAGTAGTGTTGATGTTTGGGATCATTGTCCCCATTGAAACAATAAAATAGTATCCAAATTTCAGATGTTTAACTGTTGTTTTGAGCGAAAGTTGAAGAATTTGGAAATTATCTCCCTTCGTCATTTCATCAACTTTGTGCAATGTGTCAGAACCACTTCAGCTAAACAGCCCCAGAGCATAATACTACCACCACCATGCATGAAGGTTGTTGCAGTTATTGCCTATTAAATTTGAAAGCCTCATCTTTATTCCTCTAAACATACTTTGTGTTATTGTGGCCAAATAGCTTAATCTTTGTCTCGTATTTTTCTCCAGAAGCCATTTGACTTGTCCATGTAGGCAGCTGCAAATTTCAATCTGAATGCTACACCAGAAATTACGATTAAGCCCGTCTGCTTCAGGGTTCAACATGTTGAGTATTCAGAGATGCTCTTCCGCATACCTTGGTTACAACAAGCGGTTATTTGAAATAATATTGGCTTCCTATCATCTCAAAGCAGTCTGACCATTCTTCTTTGACCTCCAGCATCAACAAGTCATCGTCACCTTATTACTGTATATATTCTTTTATTTCTGACCTCTCTCACAACACTGTACAGATGGTTGGGGGTGATAGACCAGCGTTTCTGAAATACTCAAACCAGCCCATCTGGTACCAACAACCACGGCATTTTCAGAATCTCTTAAATCATCCTCCTTCTTCATTCTGATACTCAGTTTTAACGTCAGCTGGTCGTCTTGACCATGTCTGTATGTCTAAATGCACTGAGCATCTGCCATGTGATTGATTTATTCGATATTGGCCTTAACAAGCCATTAAAAAGGTGTACCTAACAAAGTGGCCAGTGTGAACTGTGGGTTCCTTATTTGTTTGAATATTGCCTAATCTAAAGTGAAAAGCAGAGAAAAGAGGAAATCCCATACACACACTAGCTGTATTTGTGAGTAGTAGAGTGCCTGCTTGTGTGAGACATTTCTGATAATTTCCACAATACCCACTTGTGCTGAAGTGTGGGTTTATTATACAGTATTCTGGCACTTTTCCAGACTGTGACACACTACCTGTAGGCTCACACACTTAAGTGTTCACCACAGTTGCAGGTACTGGAATAGACCCAGTACTGAGGAGGTGTTTCAGAGTATCAGTACGGATATGAGGCAGAGGGAAAAACTGTACTGACAGGCAAAAAGACCATGACTAGTTCTTGCATCATTAGCCAAAGACAAAAGTAGTTGGCTTAACAATGGAAATGCTTCTACTTACAGCAAGTCGACTGTTTTAAGCTGTAAAATCGAATTCTTCAAAATATTTTCTACCAACGTAAATAAAAAATCTTTAGTTTTCACTTTGATTACATTTATTTTTCTGACTTAACTGTGGAAGTTTTTGTTAACAAGGTACACAAATTATTATATGTGAGCAAACAAAGCAATGCCTATTTTCCTTCCTTTTTCAATTTGCCCTTCACCCTATCCCTTCATCTTCCTCTGTCACACCAATGATCTGTATGTCCTCCTTCACTACATCTATCAATCCTCTATGTGGTCTTCTTCTTTTCCTCCTGTCTAGAAGCTCCATATTCAACATCCATTGCCCGGTATATTTACTATCCCTCCACTGCACATGTCCAAACCATCTCAGTCGTGTCTCTCTAACTTTGTACCCATTTCTAACTGTGTCCATCCTGGTCACTCACTGCTAGCTCCACTTCATGTCTTTTTCTCAGTGTTACTGTCTAAAAAAAAAACATACAGCAGGTCTCACTATCATCTTGTAAACCTTCACTTTCACTCTTTCTGCTATCCTTCTGCCACCCCTCATACCCTTTTTCAACATTAAGCCATCACCTTCGTTCTAGAAAATCATTATCAGTACACTTCTCCATTCCTCAGGGATCCTGTCACTCAAGACTGTGTTAAAAAGTCCACTCACTTTTTTCCTAACATCTCCATACTTCCATGGGTTTTCATCTATACCAATCCCCCTTCCTTTTTTTTTATCCGCTTTATCCGCATTATTATTATTTTCTTAAATAATATCAGAGGTCTCAACCTTTGATATTAGTAAAATGTGTTCTTATACTTCCAATCCCGCCAGAGAGAAGCAAAGCACGTCTCTACTGGGTCTCAAATATACTCTGAGGAAGCAAAGAAGAAGAAGAACTTCCGCAAGTCACGGAAAGATTACCTAGGGGTGTTAGCTGCTAGCTCAAAGCTAGGTTAGCACTGTATGCATATGTGCAGTCTGTTCTCTAAATGTTGCCATGATTTAAGACCAAACTCCCCTCTCCGACTAACGACATCTCGGTAGGTAGAACATATACGTTTATTGTTAGGCATTTACTCCTTTTCTGGTCGGTTTCTAATGGCTGAAACACCTATTAATGTTAATGAACTCAGTTAGCATGAATGTTTACAGAGCTAGTGTAGCTTACTAGTGGGTTACGTTAGCTGCTGTTAGGAAAGATAGTTTCTTCGCTAATTTCTGCAAATTTGGCGTTTGTTTAACGACCTTTTCTCTCTCGCTCGCTTTTTATGTTATGGTTGTTATCGTGGACATTGTGGTTTGGTGGCATCACCCTGATAGTGGTAACATTCCCGTTATCTAGCTTCGAGTCATTGGCAGCAAATGCATTGAAATCGGCATATAAACTAGTGATTTTTGCCAATCACGCGACAGAAGACAGGTTTTAAACTGATGCCTAGTGTGCTTCGTGTTGTCTGAACACTTCCTGGAGTTGCCATTGATCCGAAACCTGTGTTTACAGCGGCTGGTTAACGAAGAGGTGTCAGACATGTATACCTCTGGGAAATACAGCTCGCGGGGCCCTGCTCTCATCCCTCGGATGAAAACCAAGCACCGCATCTACTACATCACCCTGTTTTCTGTGGTGCTGCTTGGACTAATCGCCACAGGGATGTTTCAGTTTTGGCCGCACTCCATTGAGTCCACAGCTGATTGGACCCTGGACAAGCGCAGTGTTCACGACGCACCTCTGATCAGACTTCCCGTCTCCAGTCCCATACCTGAGAGGGGTGACCTGAGCTGTCGCATGCACACCTGCTTTGATGTATACAGGTGTGGCTACAACCCTAAGAATAGAATCAAGGTAACGCTACCTGGAAACACTCCCCACACACAGACACTCAATTTTCTTACGTAGAAGTCACGAACAACTGTTGAAATTGTGCTTGCAGGTTTATATCTACCCTCTGCAGAGGTTTGTAGATGAATTGGGGGTCCCCATCAGCAGCACCGGCCTGTCTCGAGAATACAATGATCTGCTTAGTGCCATCTCTGACAGTGACTTTTACACAGACGATGTTACAAGGGCTTGCCTTTTCATTCCATCTATTGATGTACTAAATCAGAACTCCCTCCGTATAAGAGAGACAGCCCAGGCTCTGGCAATGTTACCCAGGTACTCAGTTTTTATTTTAATTCAGATCCTCAAAAAAAGTCTGAAACGCCTCCTGGTAATTACTTTGAAATATTGTCTAAATTTACATTACTGTAGTTTCAGTGGTGATCAGGACACCAAAACTCCACGTGTGGAATAACAAATCAAAATTGATTTAAAAAAATGTTTAAATTGCTGACTTTCC